CAGCTTTTTGTGAGCCGGAGTCTGAACCGCAGACGGCAAGGCGGGCTGCACAATGAAAGCAAAAGGCATCCATCCCAAACAAAATAAAATGACTTGAAAAGTGAAGTTGCTTTTTAAATCAGATGCTTCGAGGCTGAAAGACATTCCCTGTCAGAAAGAAAAGGGTGAGCGCAGAGCAAGCTGGCGGCTTTCCAGGCAGTGGACAATATTGACTCCAGAATCAAATGGGTTTTGCTTAGTGCTCACCCCAGGGCACCAGCCTCCCTGCTTCAGAATAAGTCACGCAGGTGGGTGATTCCTTGGCACAGACTGACCCTTGGGTGGCTAACCCTGTGCACAGCATCCCCTGGCCAGGCACACGGACACTGAGCTGGCCAGGGCTCCGCTGCAGACACGCTCAAGAGGCAGCGCCCTGAGCTCCTGCCTGCTGCCAGCTGGGGCTTCAGCCCACAACGCGTGGTGGGTACTACAACAGCTCCTATCACTCCTGATGGGATGCAGCTCAACTCTGCATGCTCCTGGAGGGCAAAGGAAGCTGCCAACAAATCAGCTCAAAAAATGGACTTGTTATCTAGGGCTCTTTTGCTAAAACTAAAAAAACCCAAAACACTGAAGCTATAATCTGGAGACAAGCCTTTAAAGAACTTCACTTCAACATGAGCAGCAGAAATGCAGCTGTTCACTTTCCAAGGAAGAGCAAAAAATTAACTTTGAATCACCAAGGCTGATGCCAGTTGGTTGTGCCCTCTGGATGCCTTTGATTATGTGCAGCACTGTACATCTCCTCCAGACTCACAGGAGGCCAAGAGGGGAACCCTGGAAGGAGCCATTGTGTCAGTGAGGGACACAGTAAGCCAGAAAACCAGGGTTTGGGAAGGTGTCCACAATACAGTCAGAGCAAAGTACTTAAAAATTGTGCACACTGGATTTACCCGTGAGTAAAGAAAAGCTGACCAACCATGTCTTAATTTTTAAATAAATGGTGGAGAGAAGGTGAGAGAGAGAGTGAATACTAATTCAGTGAAGTTCTTTAAAGGAGCAGTTATCAGGTCTCATTTTTTTCCCCGCACGTATTTCTACCTCAGGCTACCCACATCCCTTTCAGTGCTGTCAGCATTTTGCTTACACGGCCACTGTGTCTTCCCTGATGCTCCTGTTGCCAGGACTTGTCAAAGTCACCAGAACTAACCTCTCTCTGATACAACTTTAACCTCTGCAAGCCATGGACCTGAAAACCCCAGCCCAGAGACCCAGCTGTGAAAGACTGTCAGTAACACAAATGTCTGCCAGCAAATGCAATCCCGAGACAGCTCGGATGCTTGTTCAGGAGGAGACACAGCTCTTAAGGTCCCTTGCCAACCACAGTACACATTTTGCAATGGTTGCTCAACCACAGAGCGCGTGGGGTGAGGGTGCAGGAGGGGCAGCTCACAGTCAGCTCCCACCTAAATGGGATTTATTTTAGATAGATTCAATACAGCAGATTTCTCACCCCAACTGCCAACGCAGAGTAAAAAGAAAGGGTGGGAGAGCCAGAGGGAGAAGGGAAAGGCTGGTCTCAAAGCAGTTACAGGCAGCCTGGACTAGTGATGCAGTACACATTGCTGGATCAGTGGTTGTCCTAATGCTGTGGGGAATGCTCTGCTACCACTGTGGGCTGTTGAGACAAAGCCAGTGTGGAAACTTCACATGAAAAAAAAAAAAAAAAAGAAAAGAAAAAAAAAGGAAAAGGAAAAAGAAAAGGCAAAATGCATTATGACAGACCCAAAGACAATAACCTTTTGTAATTCACACAAGCTGGGCAAGCCAAGCCATTGTTGAGAATCTGAAAAGCTCCAGAGCACAGGAAAAGGGTAAAAATGAAGGGGAAAAAAATCATACAGAGTCTAATAGAAAACACAGAAAATGTTCTGAATTTTAAAATAAACCAGTTCATTTTCCTGAGGCAACACCAGAGCAGAGTTTTACACCCTCTCACTAAAGAGAGTAAAGTAATTAAGTGTAAGAGTGGCTATTTGTTCCTAGCATCAGCTGCACCTCTCTCCATGTAAATGCAAATGTCAACACACAGTGAAGCCACTGACCAAAACAAGGTTTAAACAATTAATCTTCTGCATTGTAAGTGATAAAGGTTTTTCAGTGTTTTAGTGCATCAAGCTCTGCCTGGCCAAAGCTCCATCTGATGGTTTCTAGAAAAGGAATATACATGCTAATTAATTCTCCATGATAGATATTGTCATTAGAAATAAATGCAGAACAGACATGTCCTCAGCCACTGCATCCTGATAGATGAGTTAAATCTAGGAATGAGAAAGGGAAAATAGAAGCAAAGCCCTTGACATGGAAAACAGCCACTGTGAAACACCAACCACCTCAAAACATCTGAGGGCCAACCAAGCTGGAAAACGAACATGTTGTCCACAACCTGAACCATTACAATTGACTCAGACTTTTGGATAAATAGAAATAGATTGCTTCTTCTCTGCTTAGGAGATCACTGCACACAGTTTGATGGAAAACCAGACTCCCTTGGGCAAACACCCTGCAAAAAGAAATGGATCCTTATTTAGAAGGGCTCTGATTTAGATAAATGTATGGTGAAAGAGCAATTCCCTCACCATTTTGTTGTCCTCAGGCAAACAAACAAAGCGGTAACTGATGCACTAGCTGTACAGTACAGAGCAGCTATAAGATTCTGATTCTTTGGTTCAGGACAACAACATAACCCCCATTTTCTACTTCCAGGCAAAAGCCAAAAGGAACAGCAGGGAGAGGTATCTTCATCACAGTCTCCACATTCTTTTGGTTGGCACAGGTTACCCCCTTTCTGGGACAACACTGAAGGTAATTCAGACTTGAATTTTCAAGACACAGTTCAAGTATTTATTCTGGAATAGCTGCTTACAGCTAGGGATATTTGTGCAACACTGGTGGTAATATTTGCCTTGACCATATTAGAAACTGTAACTGGATCAACATGTATCCCACACTTCAGGGAATTAGAATCAACAGAAAAATCAACTCTCTTCTCCCCCCTGCCATATGCTAGCATTAACAGAGTTCACACACCAGTACTGAAAAACAATACACTGAATCAAATCTGTCAACTATTTAGACTTACCCAAGCTCTTCTACCTTACTCATTATTCTACATTAAAAAATTACACTCCTTCTTATTTATTTTTCTTCTAATGCCAAATAGTATTAGCTATGCAATAACTGTTTTGAGTAAGATGAAGAGCTATGCACAGATTCACAAATGAGGTACAAACTGATACACAGAATAATTTATTTGTTTAATTTTTTAACCATTCCAGCCCTGTATGCATCCCAACATCCCACTGGCAATTTTGACTGGAAAAAATCACAGTAAGCAGAATTTACACTGAGCTTTTGGACACAACTCTCAAGTTCATTTGGAACCTCTAGTGTACAAAATACTTATTTTTCCCTCTTTGTGTTTTACTTGTTATTTATTAACACCAAATTGATCACTGTGATCCTCATACCCACTGCCAATGACACAGCTTCAACCATTTTAAACTCATTTCTTTTCCAGTCCACTAAACAAACGGGGAAATGTAAAACTACTCCCATGAATCTGGACTCCCTGGAATCTGCCTTCCAGCCATGGTGAAACAACTCTGTTCTTACTCTCCTCTCAGGAAGTTCTTGGCCCATTATACTTCTATAGTTCTTCACCAAATCACAAGTTGGTTTGTTTTGGGTTTCTTTTTTTTCCCCCCTTTTTCTTTTTCTCCCCCTGCAGCATCTTGAAAAAGAGCTTTTGGAAGTCTACATGAAGCCATTCTTTACTGATGCCTTCACAGACATCCAGGAGATTCATAAGAAATGTCTCCCTTTGCAGAAACTGGGAGAGTGTCTCAATCTTCCAAATGTTTTACTGTTTAAGTCCTCAGTTGATCCAATGTTTTCATTCTGTTTCTATTCTTTTGCTCAAGCCTACAGCCTTTTTAAAATGTGAAATCATCGTTCTCAGGGTGAGACTGCATATTTCTACTAGCAGCTGTTCAAGATGATGGACAATGACTTACTCCCAGATTAACATGTTCTGCACAAACATTCCAGATAATATTAAACTTATTCCATTATTCTGCTATTAAAACAGCATTATATTTATAGTCTATAAAGTATGTGACAAATCAGAAGCATGTGGAGTGGTAGTCAGATGTGAACATCTAACTCTCCAAAGCTACAGGAGTTCAGGCGTTTTAACCCCCTCCATTCTTTCTATTCCTGAAAGGATATTTGCTAAGGATGGTGAAACAAACAGCATGGAAGTGAAAACTATTTGCATATATAGGGCCTTTGACCTTATAGGTCACGCAAAGAACACATAACAGCAAGGATTAGGGCTTCTCTTAAGTGAGTGGGAGTCACTTGAGAAGGAGCCTCTTGAACTGACACAAAATAAGACACTTAGCCAAAGACAAAACCCTCCTAATTCTTTATGTCTTCACTTTGTTAAGTCAATGCTGTTCATTCAAGCCTTTTCATTTTAGACTCACTATGACTTTTACTGAAACAGGTTAATCTCTAAAACAATTCCTCAAGGGTTACCCAAATCTGAGGTCAGCTGCACTGGAGGATGGGAGGCAGCTCTTCCCTTCTGTGAGCACTCATCTGCATACAAAGACATGACAGCCTGATCCAAATTCTGTAAAATGTTACTTCCAAGATAGAGAAGTTCTTTAACTTTCAGGAAGATCATTTCGCACATTTTCCCCTTTATGTGTTTGCTCTACTTTGAGTGTACAAACGTTATAATGGATGGAGGCCCTGGCTCTGGAGGGAGGTCAACTTATTTAAAATATTAATTTCTAAAAGAAAACACATCTGAAAGAAGGAAATACCTTTCCCTTTTGTATGCAGGTGTACACCTCCACGTTTGATGCAGTTTACACTAATCTAACACATGTACAAAGCAGGCATTGGTTGGGAAGAAGGCTGACCCCATGCTGAGAAGGACACATTCTTACCAGCCAGTCATGTTGAAGTCACGGTAGAGCATCCTCTTTCCAACTTCCTTGCGCTGCACTCTCCGTGGAAACTCTAAATGTGTGAACTCATTTCCAAGCAAGTGGGGCTGCATGTAAGCCTGTGGGCAGAAACCAGGCCACAGATACCACACAAACATCACAAAACATCGTCTATTTTTAATGAGGCAGCATTACCACCCCTTCCCACTCCCTACCCACACATAATTTTTGCCCCCTTTTCAAACAAGGAAGATAATGAGCTTCATTCAACAAATGATGTGCACAAACACCAGTTCTGAAGCTGCCTAGTGTCCAGCAGGAGCCCTCAAAATCCTTCACTTCGTGCTTCTCAACATTTGGGATCTAAAGTACACCTCATCCACTGACCCTGAAGAAGTCTGCAGGGCTTCATAAAACAGAACATCTCCCTTTCCTAGTCAGTGACCTGAGACAAGGGAGAAAGCCATGGGGCAAGCAGAGACTTAGAAGGGTGTGTGTGGAATGAAGCTCAAGCTTTTTGACTCTCAGTTCACTTACGTCAACAACACACACAACCTAATACTACTACCACACTTTAATTTTTCCTGCCTTGAGAAAAATGTTCCTTTTTGCTTGCTCAGTGTGCTGCACCCCATCACACGATACACTGCAAATAAATACAGGCTGCAGAACATTTTATTTTCTTGTTTTCTAAAAAAAACCTTCTGTACAGAACAGACATTAAGAAAAGAAACAGCAGTTTTGTATCACAACTGCAACTAATTTTTTTTGTTGCTTGACTGGTGCTACTCTTTCTGGTGTTGCTGCTCTGTAGATACTGGGAGGCTTCTTTGCTAGAGCTGTGCCAGAGGCTTATGTGCTCCAGAGCTGACTGTACTCAAGAGCATCATGAGGCTCCATCCACCACACAGATTTCTGGTTTGCATTTATACATAGATCACCTGACATGATAGGTTAATCCTTAAACATACTGTATTTCTTCTTTCCAAAATAAACCTCACTCATTTAAAAAAAATATTTACATAAACAAGCCTTTTCCCTCCTTCCCTCACTACATCCTGAGAGAGCTCTTCTGAAGACACAGTTGAATTGGCTAGGGAACTGAAAAAAGTTGTGTTTCTTAATCTTTCTGCAGATACCTCTTTCCTTATCCAGCCAGTCAGGGCAATAAAGTCTGTCGTATCTCCAGCAGCAGCTGCCATCAGGGCACCACCAAACAAGCTGGCTTTAGTTTGTGGGTTTGTCATATATCTAATGCTCATCAAAGGTGAGCAGCAGGAAGCAGTGGAAGGCCTTATTGATCTACCTGGCAGCTACCATGCAGATAGTTCACAATAAAACATTTCCTGCATTTAAGGGCCTAGCCTGCCCCCACTCCATTTAACAGGAGTTGGATCAGGCTCAGCAAATCACAGCACTAACCTTCCATCAGCTTGTCCCCGTTCCTGTCCCCTGACATCCTTCCAGAAAACACCTCAAGCTCGGCTGAAAAGGCTGAGGGAGATGGCTGTGTGTAGCCAACAAGACTGAATTCTGCTTTTAAGAGGCAGCTTTCAAGCATGCAAGTGTGATCTTGACATTGGGATCCCTTCCTGGAACAGAAGCTCCATCAAATTCTCCCTCCATGTACACGTAGAGGAATTACATTTTTTCCCCTGAAGCTTAGAGCCAGTCAGGGTCTGCTCCTCCATTCAAATACTGTTTGCAAGGACCCTCTAATTGGATCACTGTTCTTTAGATTCTGTGGTGGTCCTGCTCTGGCAGTGGGGTCAGACTCCGTGATGTGCAGAGATCCCTTCCAACTCTTAACATTCTGTGATTCCAGAAATGACTGAGAAGCAGTAGTGACTCTTCAGAAGTCTAGCAATATTAGTCCAGATAAGGTCTCCCATCTTTCCAGAACTCCAGGTTCTTTATTTAAAAGTCCATGTAAGCTTTTAACTTTTATTTATTTTCATTCCAGTTGCACAAAAGATGTAATTTAATGATTTATTTGATGTATTGCTACACACTGACAGCAGAGAGCTGGAATTTCTTTTGATATTTTAAAATTCTTTCTAGTCTATGATATTGTAAATTCAGTCTGCTTTGCAAGTGCAATTCAGTTCACTTAAAAAATGCACAGCCAACCTAGATTAAATGATTATAAACCGCTTCTAGGTAAAGACTGCTGTGGCCTGCTTACAAAACAAGAAGCCTTATTTAAAGCATAAAAACTCACACCTGACATCAAAACAAAGTTATTTCACCTTAAGATGATGAGGTTATGTATTAGGCTGGATCAGATGTCCAGAAGAAAGAAAAATTACAGGCTTTTAGCATTTTTCCCCTTGAAAATAAGAATTTCTGTTACTGAAAAGGTAAAGCGATTGGGAGAGACTGCATTTCATGAAGATTTACTCAGATGGAAAGTCTGAGGTCACAAGTGAAATAAGATTAATAAAGCTGGCAGAGTTACCAGTGGACTGCTAATGTTCAAATAAGATTTCTCTTCCGCAGCCAAGCCTCAATGCTTGATTTACAATCCAGGGATCTTAACTTGATTCTAATATATTTGGCATCAGTAGAACAGAGGGAAAAGAGCAATTTGGAAGCTTCTGGTGCCTATAAGCTGAATTCTTATGTGAAGAAATGGGGATTTTTCTCGGGCTTTTTTTTTGGTTAATTTTCTGTATTTTTTGTGCCCTTTTCTTTTAAACAGTTATTTTTTAATGCTTCACTGGTAATTCTACAGAGAGAGGAATGTTGTACTACAAATCTCAGCTGCAACTTCCAGTCCAGTTTGCTGAGAACTGCTCTATATTTACTACTAGAAGGCAGGATTTGTCTTTCTCTCCACTCCAATCAAACCATGCTGGGCAGAAGAACCAGAAAATAAACAAAAAACAATGCTTCAAAAATATACAGATCTTTCCAGTAGATATACAAGCAGATATATGAAATCCCCTCAAGGGATCAAATGAGAAGCTAAGACTACCAGAATTTTATCTGTGATGAGGCACCATATTTTCCATTTTTTCATTTGTTTAGTCTCGATTTGCAAAAACCTCAGATCAGAATCACCATTTAGAAAACTTAACATTTATTAAAAAGAGTGACTATCAAACACTGTGTGTATCTTTCCGGGGTATGTTCAGACAATCTTATTATTCTGTGTTTATGGAACTGGAATGTTTTCCATAATTTTTCTTTCAGAAGCTGTTACAGATTTTTTGGCATAAATCTGGCATAGTCTGCATCATGTGTTTTTGGTACTCTGCCATTTTATGGTGTGTTTTATGGCTGGATGTACTACATTCAGCATTAGTTGTTTAAAAGGGAGTCCGCTCAAGGAAATATTAGTCATATTTCTTTCAAAAGGCAACTTGCTTCCTTCTGTTTCCTGATGATCAGCAAAGCAAACATGAAATTAAGATAAGCCTAGACTTACACACTAGTGTGCAGTTAATTAGGTGGCAGGGAACACTGTATCTATCTTTACATACCTTGATAAGTCCTGCTGGTGCCTTTTCCAGCTCCTCCAGTATGCTTTACTGTATTCTCTGTTATTTTCAGAACTGCTGTTTTCCCTAC